GGGATCCCTGGCGACACATCTGATACGACACCGTCGTGACGACAAAAAACAGATAAAAAAGCGATTCTGGTATTTTTGTTTGCTGATACGAACCGCACTGTCCAGTCGGGTGGAGAACGCGCATCATCCAACCGCAGCTTTATTGACGGAAACCGCGGTCTCGAAATCATTAAAAAGCGTGGTGAAGATAAACCGAAGTTTAAATTGTAAACATCGTGGTTTAAGAAACTGCTACGCTGATCGGTATTCACAGACCGCCGTTTAGATCGAGTTTACCGAGGTATATAAAATCGCCGTTTCATACACCGCGGTTCATTCTCACTAAACTGCATCCCTTTGAAACCGCGGTTTTTGCCGTTGCTTGGATCAGAGAAATCGCGGTTTGTCCTTACCGCGGTTAACCGCGTTTTTCGAAATGACATCGCGGTTTGCTACAGAGAAACCGCGGTGAGACAAAAAAATCCGGGGTTAACCGCGGTTTTATTTGAAAAATTTCTTCGTGGGTACACGAAGATAAGTTATCCTTTGTGAATAACCGACTAGAACAATGAAATTTTGCTATATCGATGACTAAGTAGACCAAGAAGGTGAAATAAACGATGCGATATAATACGCTAGATGTCTACACTAGTCGACGTTCTTGTGGGTGTCTTTGCAAGGTTCTTGTTTCTTGGCAATACAGGCACATATAAAGACTCCATTGTCTCCTGACAAGAATCTTATGACATTTAAAGGAATTTTACAAACATCTATGTATAGTATTGAACTATATTATGTAATAATTCACTTCTTTTCAAAACAATTTTTATTGAAAGTAGAGCAAGTTTACAATATGCTTCTGCAATATTTGAAATCAGGATTTGATACTCTTTTTATGTCCCTATTTCACAACTTTTGCCTATGTTTTTGTGCTAACCCACATTGATTAAAATAACAGCATATAGTTTTTGACTGCGCCAAAAATCTATGCACCGGTTGGGGTATTCAGGAGAATTGCCATGCATCGGTTATCAAGATTCTCTCAGAGCTGCGGAACATCTCATTTGGTAGAAAAATGTTTGTTCTACGAAATGAATTTGTTAAAAAAGTTTCATAGTTATTTCTAACAAAACTTAGAGCATTCTAAAATGCACTAAATCACGAAAAAAATCTGTTAGTTTTTAAAAACTTTCAAAACACTCTTCTTTTTGTGATTTATGCTGTAAGTTTTGTTAGCAAACTATGAAACTTTTTTAACAAATTCATTTTGTAGAACAAACATTTTTCTACAAAATGAGATGTTCCACAGCTCGGATGTCCCAACAACAGTTTTTAACTGGTGCATACATTTTTGGCGCAGTCAAAAACTATATGCTGTTATTTTAGTCAATATGGATTAACACAAAAACATACGCGAAAGTTGTAAAATAGAGACATAAAAAGAGTATTAAATCCTGATTTCAAATATTGTAAACTTGCTCTACTTTCAATTAAAATTGTTTTGAAAAGTGATGAATTATTTTTGCAAAATGTTGTAAAAAGAGACAGTCCGTATAGATACATGAAACTATAATCAACAAATTGCTGTTAATTAAACTTGAGAGGAAATTACTTAGAAAATCTCGTTGTTTTGGGTCATTTTTGATTTCATACACATTATACAACAGACTTTTAACCAAAGTTGATTCAAAACACGGATCTGCCGCCTATCAATAGAACAACCGCGTGCATTTGAATACAGGCAAAATCATATCTTCAGTTCTGAATAAATGAGAGTGTTCTAATTAAAAAACCTAAAATTCAATGCTTCTGTACTGAATAAATCGGCTTGATCAAGCGTGACGGAATTTCACTTTTTCGACTTCTTTGTTTTGTATCTCTAAAACCATATAAGAGATTGTAATGAAATTTTTAAAAAATGTGTATAATAGCAGGTTTTTCAAATTCTGAAAGTGTAAGTTTGATCGGTGCAATAGATCAGCAGTTATAGCAAAAAATAGAGGCTGTATTTAGTAGGAATCTCAAAAAATGGAAAGCGTTTTCGGGTGGACTTCGAACTTCTCTCTGAAATAAGAAACTGTCGTTTGACATACTTTACAGAAAAAGGTTCGCCGATGTTTGGACTTTCAGAATATGTCTTTAGTTTTGGTTATAAGTGCTAAGATCAAATAAAACGAGCAGAATATCGACTGTGATGCAGAGATGTAACCGGACTGGGTACCCGGTCCGGTCGAGACTTATCAACCGGTCGGTTGGACCGGTTCTGATCAGACTGCTGGACCGGGACTGGTCGAATTGGCTTGTAACTAGAAAATATGACAGTAAAAGCATATTTATATCGAACAGAAAGCAAAGTACAGCGGTCGCTTACCGGTCAAATTTTTTGAAAAATGGTCGGTCAACCGGCCGGTCTGCACATGTTCGTCGGTCACCGGTGATCGACCGGTACCGGTCACGATTTTGCTGACCGGTTACAACTCTGCTGTGATGGAATTTCATGCTTCTAATGTAGAAGGTTATGCTGGTCGTAAGTTTGACACTCAAACGAACCCAGTCAACCGTCTTTGGTTCACTATCATCCGCGCGCCTCTCTTTCATCATTCTAAGCAGTTTTTATTAAGAAAATATAGCACCTGAAGGTTAACAACAAATTTAAAATTTCGATGAATTTGCGACATTGCTATTGTTAAATATCATTAAAATTCAAATTTGAGCAGTTTTTAAGCGAGCAAATGGATATAAGCATTGGATATAAGCTCAAAAATGTTTTTAATCACTACCAGATGCTTTTCAATGGAAACGATTTAATTCTAAATTTAGTTTAAATTTAAAAATTCAAAAATTAGTCTAAACTGAGAAATTGAAATGTTTTTTTTTTAGATTTTTTTCAGTGTTATATTTGGAATCAGGTTGGAAAACCGCATTGAATAATGTTGGTATCAGCCTAATTCAAGAGAAAAGAATTTTAGATTTCTGGTCAAAAATGTATTTTTTATGCATTTCTGGTCAAAAATGTATTTTTTATGCATTTCTTACTCAAAAATGAAGTTCCGTCATGCTGTATTTCGCATTTTTTTCTCTCAAAACTTGATCAAAATCCAATACATTATAGGCCCTTCGATAGATCTCGACGAGATCTAGCGGTCTAAGTGGCTTGTTTACCAGTTTAGCTCTTTATTTGAATGAAAAGATTCACGAAGAATGTAAATGTTTTATTTTTGAAATTTCTCAACAAACATCTGTACATTTTCGGAGTCTGACCGGAAAACCGAATTTTCAATAAGTTTTGAAGAGTTCGTTTGTTACATAAAGATTCGATGTTTTGGCTATCGAATGATGAAAATCGCAACTCTCTAGCTGCTGTCAATCAAAAGCTATTTAAAAAATGGTTTTTGGTGGGCACGCGGTGATAAATCGCTTAAACACCCCATATATCTAAAAGTCGGTTAAAATAACTGCGAATTAATAATTTTTTGAGAAAGCAAGTGCATGGTTTTGTGGCGCTTGAAAATCTCTGTTAAGTGATATACCCCTTCACGATCACCAAGAAATAGTAACTTACAAACAAAAGTGTAATGTACCAGAGTGACGTTAATTAGCACTTATTAATTGTAATCTCACACCTTAAAAGAGTAATTTTAAAATTTTTTATGAAGATATAACCATAGGCCATTGGCTCCCAAGCTACGCAAGAATGACACTCCTACAATTATTTCTGATCGAAGTGCAAATCTGCAAGCTTTCCAAAAGGGAAACTAGCAATCCAAATTTTAATTATACGATCTGTTTAAAATTGTCGGCGGAACTAATTGAGCGTTTAATTTCATCCGACACTGTTTGTATTGAGAGCAGCTGAGGAACATATCGTAAAGGAAACCAGAAAGAGAAATAGAATAACAGAATAAAAGGAGAATAAGGAGAGATCGATGAGAAAAAGGGGGTCCATAATGTTAATCACACTTTCGTGAAAAAGAAAAACATCATTGTAAAGAGTGCACAATTACGACTAAGAAACTGAGTGTTAGGTTTTTGCTATAGAAGAGGGTGGGATGGTTGAGGAGAGGGATAACGAGATAGGAAGTAATAACAATTAGTGCTTGCCTCTCAATTTGACCTACTTATTCGTTATCAACAAATTCTAGCCATACTCCTAGAAGAGATTTATGTTTCTTAATCATCTCTTTTTTTTATTCGATGATTTGTTATGCTGTTGCGCGTTCATAGCCATTTTCAATAGGTTTCAGATAATTTATTCCAAACATGCTATAGTTAGCTACAACCAAGTTAATAGAATATGTACAAACGAGATCGTAAATGTATTCAAGAAACGTACGACTGAATGTAGTAGACTCGGTTATTTTATTAAGAACTTCATCGAATCACAGTTCAGAAAAAAAACCTAAAATGAAGACCAACGAATTGGTTCTCCTTCTAAATGAATGGTATGCATATGCTGTTTTCCAACCATAATTTTATGTAAACCTGGTTCCAACCACTTCGATCCATCCAATACAATTGTTAATAATGATCGAATATTAAATGAAAAATAAATTTCAGTTGTTTGACTAGTCTCTAAATAAACACGTTGAAAACCAAATAACTTTTTAATTGGGGGTGATGGATCACGGACTGATTGTTGTGGTGGCGTAACAAATGCTAAAAAAACATCACTACCTGCCATATCACCTGTATTCGTTACATTAACACGATCGTTTGATTCAATCGTTTGATTTATACCACCAACGAATATTACAATATCAGATAAACGAGCCAATTCAATAGCTGCGGCAAAACCACTTTCATCTGTATCATTGATACTACATCCAAAAGCATATGTTACATTGATTGAAGTATCTGAAACAAAAACCAAATCAAAATTTATTTATCAATCAGAATTACTTTGTGTTTTTTGTAAAAATGCAGTGCATGGATCAATTTCATATGGTGCTTTTCCATTATAATTTCCTGCTAGCATTCCACTTCTATTTGCTGCTAGTTCAATCAATGCAATTCTTTTATTTTGTAATTGATTTATTCCCTTTACTGAAAGTAAGGGTTTTACGGGGTCTAAAAAATGCTTAAAGTTTGTCTGTCTGTCCGTCCTAGCCAATCAGAAAACAGCTTCGATTCCTGCCAACACGCATAGTCCGCAGGACCCATGGGCATGGGTAATCGACTATGGGGAGTTTGCATCGACCGGACACCAATGGAAATCGAGTTCAGGGGACAATTTCTCCATATCCTTAATTGAAAGAATAACTAAAGGCTGGAACCCACTTCTCATGCAGGAAGTGGTCTCGAGGAGTAGATACAAACATAGACAAGACTAGCCGTGAGTGGCGTCTTAGAGGGACGCCGACAAACGACTGGTCGTTGATATCGGGGACGTCAATCTCTATGCAATCATACCCAGGGAATCAAGACAACATATCAACTAGCATTGTATGCTGAAAGAGATCCTCCATATCCGTTTCAAATAACCGTCTGGCAAAAGAGACACATATTTCATCGTCGAAGTTTGTAACATAAGAAATATGTACACTGATATGAAGATAGTAGTAGGCGACGTACACCGTCAAATCACCGCGATATCTACGGGGAAAACATCCTGATAGCCTGTTGGATTATATTTCATCAATTTATAGTTGTTTGAGCTAGTGAATTGCGGGATAGGTTGACCAGCGACTGCGATCCCAGAGACTCTCTTGGCGATAACTCAGAGTCAAGTATGTGGAGAGGTTGCCGTGGACATCAATATAGAGAAAGGGTAACCGTTTAACTCAGCTCACTGAAATGGAGAACTGATGTGAAAATACCATAGAAATGAAAAACGATGTACTGAGGATAGCTATAGAGCCACAAATTCTCTTTGGAAACTAATCGTCGATTCCCGTCTTGGCAGCCATTAGGCAGAACCGTAAGATCATCCAACATTATTCTGAATACTTTGGGTAAGAGTATTTTCACAGCTATCATCTAGTTAATTGTGTGGTAAAAGGGTTAAGTGATTGAGAGAATATGACACAGATAACGCAGGACCGAGTCGGGAGTGGCGTGCCCGAAGGGGCACCGACTACCGACGAGGTGCTGTATGCCTTACTTCGAACCAAAGGACTTTCGGTAGTACTGTTTAGCTCAGTCTTTTGCCCTCTTCAGAAAAACATTTCTTAATGATGCACAGAGTGCATACAAATATTCTATTTCATTCGAGCATGATCATCGAATCAGTATCTTCAGAAAAAGAAACGATAGGAACATCATTCACATTGGAAATGATATCGCAGTTTCCTTGGAATAATGATAGCGGAGAGTCCAGTTTAGGTCGTGTGGATGATCTGTGTGTTGAATCGGATGTGCTCTCGATGCACGAGTGGCTCTTCCGAGGGCGAAAAGAAAATCAGTTTATACGATCCCTATCTTAGTGACCTATTCTCAATAGGGATCATTGACGGATGAGTGAGTTTTGGGAGACCGACGTTACAATTGACTCCGTTCATTCGAAGCTCAGGTGTTTTTAGAACAGCTTCGAATGAATGAGTGTCGATGTGTATTATTATTGTGGCTAAAAGGGTCTCTATCTCATGTCTGAAATATTGAAATGAGTTCTCGAAGATAATGGAGATGTGTTCCTAGACGATTGAAGTTCATAGTAATTACCTTAGACAGCGAGGGCCTCATAAGTGCGCTGTACTGTTTTCATCTGTTCGGATTAAGTGGCTTAGGAGAAAAGCTTACACTGAAATGTGATTTGAGAACGTTCAGTCGAGGGTGAAGCGAGTCGTAGCAACGCGCGTTGCTTGTTGATCGGTGAGAAAACAATGAAAATCAAGTTTCCCAGAAACGATATTTTGAGAGCGGCCTGCTACGTAGAGACTGGATCTGGCTATTATTTACTATCTAAGAATTCCATCTATGAGCCACAGACCGATACGAATCTATGTTACAGAGACATGCTTCGTCAAGAAGAAGTCTGGAAAAGAAGGTGCAACTCCAGGTGGACCCGTTCCACAACGATCATGTTCAGTCTGAGAGCAGCAGCGGTTTTTGTCAGGGCAAGGAAAGGATTCGAAGAGTACTAGTGCTAAAACAAAAGGAGACATGGCTTTCTGTAAGCATTTATAGAAAACTTTGGGTTTGAAGAAATCGAAATTGAAGTAAGGCGCCGCTAATTCAAAGATCGAGCAGGTTTTAATTTTTGGCTTTATTATACATATTCTGATTCGCCGAATCGAGCTGATCACGAATATCACCTTTTTAGTTCGATTTGATCACTTTTTTGGA